TCAGCTGCTACTAGAATCAATTTTGGTTCTTTTAATCGACAACTTTTTTAGATTACTGAGGTTTAAAATATGCGAACCAATGATCTTTAATATTCAAAAATTCTTAAAATTGAATTTTTTTTTAAAAACTAGAGTCAAGCCCATAATGCTAGCCCTGCAACAAAGTCAAAAGCTATAATTTTTACATTTTTTTAAATTTAATTGAATGAAGGCAAAAAATGTAGAAAATAGCATCAAATTTTAGAATAAGTTTAGATTTGTTCGAGTTGGTCACCTTTGGCATGAATTATGGCCTTTAAACGGCCAATGCCCACACGGTGCCCGAATGTTGTTCTGCGGTATTTTGGTCCATTCCCGGCGAAGCGCTTGCTTGAGGTGAACGACACTTTGGTATTTTTTAGTGCCAACATTGCTTTCCAAAATACTCCAGACACAATAGTCCAACGGACTGGTATCCGGAGATTTCGGTGGAAATGAAGCGAGGAACCTCATTTTGTAACCATTCTTGGTGGGGCGTGCTGAGTGCGATGGTGCTAGTACTGTTGGAACGTCCAAAGTCTGCGACAAAAAGGTGTGCGTGCCCAAGGCTTTAATACACCCTCCAGAATATTTTCGCGATAATATTCGACATTTATTCTGATGCCACGGTCGAAGGTGCACATTTTCAGCTGACATCTTTGGCAAGTAAACACTATCATTTTGTTTGTTTACAAACTGCTGGACAGCGAATGTTTTCTCATCGGAGAAAACCAAATTCGGCAGTTAACCACTTTCGGCCAAGCGAAGCAACTCTTTAGCTGTTATGAGTCTATTTTCTTTCTGTTGCGGTGTAAATTCTTGCACTTTTTGGAATTTTAATAGCTTTACCCGGAGCTCATTTTTCAATGGAATATTGCGATATGTTCAGCTCACGAGCCATTTTTCGGCCACTGCGACGCGGGTTTCGATCAAGTCGCTTCTTTACTTTTCGAACCATTTCTGCTGATGTTGCTGTTTTATTTTGTCCACTTTTTTGACGTCGGGCTACGCTACCAGTATCACGGTAACGAGTGATGGGACGAGACACAAAAGATTTATTCACATTTAAATGGTGGAGTGCTCTAACGATAGCCACGTGTGGTTTTCCAGCCAAATATAAAGAAATCACTCTATCACGCTTGAACTCCATCACGAATAACTTTTTTCTGGAAAATTCTCACCAAAATGCTTTTGTACGCTTGTAAACAATATAATTAGCTGTCACTGGAATAATTTTAACAGCTGTCGGACTAGTGGCTTAGAAATTACAGCAGTCTGAAGTTAGTTGCAGTTTTTTCATCTCACCCTGTATGTATAAATTTTCAAAAAATTTCCCCTTATACTCTTTCCGAGGAAAACCAATTTCATTATGCACCTGTACTTTTGTGTTTTTGAGTAATGACATGATTATGGTGCCGGTTGTTTTGCAATGTAAATTAAAAGTGGTAACATTATTCAATTTCTTGCCAAAAGCCTCAAATAATTAATGCCATTCCAGTAATGTGTCTTGTCCAATCATAGTCCGCTACACTCTTAGTTCTAGTCAACATCATGACACTATAATTATAAGGATTCCAATGACATGGAAATGAGTGGAACAACTCGCGAGCAGATGTAGACAGGCACAGATTATAGTTTGCCATGTTTTGGGGTGCAGCCTCTTGAGCAAAATTCGCAATCAATGATTGCAGACTACATCAATTAAAAGAGATCACAAAAGTGCGGTAGCACCGATTTACCGCAATAAAATTTTTGCATAACTACAACTATGGCAATTATTGCCGATGTCCATCTATTAGTTGTAACACCGGGAGAAATTCAATGCAATGGGTGTAATTTTGCAGCAGATTTTGTCTGTTAAGGGAAACGATTTGTTTTATAGACATCACCACAATATGGAGGGTATATCATGTCATTTCGAACTCAAAATATTCTTCGTAGACCCCATGAAGTAGATATATTCCTCTTCAAAACAATATTCTAAGTGGAAATTTTTTGTTCAAGTATTTAGCAGAAATAGCCATTACAAACGCGGTTTCAATCCATTATTGAAAACAAGGATGTCGACGATATAAGTACTTTTTTGCCACTAAAAACATTAATTTTGTAATTATCGGCTTTTGTGACCAAAAATATATATTTGTCCTTATTGAAAAAAAAACAAGTTATATCCTCAGCCAATGTTCGATTATTTTAATATATATTTTGACTTCTGTCGGATGTAAATAAATATGATATAAATATTGCGACTTCCTTCACTTTATATGAGATACGTGATAATTTTTAGAAAATCTTGAAATTTACGTGGGGTACCAGATATAGTCGACCAGAGTATTAAATTTTCATACTTCATCTAATGAAGATAAAAATATTGATATGGACAAGATTACAAGAAAATCGAACATTTATATCCAATTTTATGCGAAATCATAAATTCTATATTCATCTCGGGTTTCTGGTTGAGATAAATATTTAGATATAGCAAATTGTAAAGAATCGCTAACTTGTTCCGCAAGTTATCACAGATAAATGTACTGAAAATTGTGACCCTTTGTGGGTATGTGTGAAATTTGAAGAGTGTTGTATGCTTATTTCGCTTTCTTTGATCGTTTTGCCTTTCAAAATCATGAAACCTATGTTGGGGAGGTACCAGAAGAAATGGCCCGATCTCTACCATCCTTACAACAGAACTTGTGTTGATAGAAATATTGAGATGTACTAAGTCTGAATGGAATCGGATGTTAATTTCGCGTTTTATGAGCTTCATGGATATTCAAAATGTTGACCCTTTGTGGGGGAGGTACTTGATGGAGTGGACCGATATTGTCCATTTTTGTACCAGAAATAGCACTGATGCAAATATTAGGATTTTCGTAAATTGACAGTTAAACAGCAAGCAAAGCAAAGGATTTTATAACCATTCAAGACGGAGAGAAACTCGATGAAATGGGAATAATTTTGTTTCAGATTTTGTCTGTTAGCGAATATGTTGTTTTTTTAGACATCATCACAAGATGGAGGGTATATAATGCAAATTCGACTTCGAAACATTCTTTGGAGACCCAATGAAGTATCTACATTCTTCATCGAATCCATATTCAAAGTGAAAATATTTTTTTAAGTATTTAATGCATAACGTTGTATTTAACTTTGGACATTCCAATGTTTGAGTGCCCAAGGCTTTATTACACTCTCCAGAATATTTTCGCGATTATACTCGGCATTTATTCTGATGCCATGGTCGATTAATACGAGCGGAGAGCGACCATCGGCTGTTATGGTGGCGCATACCATCACCATGGCCGGCGTTTGAGTTCTGGTGGCCAACCGAAGGTGAACATTTTCAGCTGACCTCTTTGGCAAGTAAACACGATAATTTTGTTTGTTTAAAAACTGCGGGACAACGAATGTTTTCTCATCGGAGAGAACCAAATTCGGCAGTTCACCACTTTCGGCCAAGCGATGTAACTCATTAGCTCTTTTTAGTCTATTTTCTTCCTGTTGCGGTGTAAGTTCTTGCACTTTTTATAACCTCCACCATACATAGTATGGAGGGTATATAACGTTCGTCATTCCTTTTGTAACTCATCGAAATAATAAGTTTAGACCTAACAATGTATATATATTCTTGATCAGCGTACAATTCTAAGACAATTTAGCCCCGTCTGTTGTAATCACGCTACAGTCAAAAATAATTAAGGTAGATAGCTAGAATTTTGCACAGATCTGTCATTTGTCTGCAGGGAGGTCAAGTTCGAAGATGGGCTATATCGGTACACGATATCGTATAGCCCCTATATAATGGTACCCCCGTAGTTCCCCCATTAAACGGCACCTTCCGATATTCGGTATTTTGAAGATTTTAACCACATATTTCAATGAAATTGTCTGAAATTCCACACTAGAAGTTTCTTGTGAGTACTTTATCCCCTAGAAGCGAGTTGTCTATGTAGGTCCACGATATGATATATCCCCCATATAAAAGTTCCTCCCGATATTCGTTATTTTGATGATTTTTGCGACTTTATTCTCCGGAATTGCTTCAAATTTCGTATATAAAGTTCGGAACAGTTACTACAGCCTATGACATAAATTACTTACGCAGGAACATGTATAGCCCCCATATAACGGTTTTTATTTGACCTTTTTTTTTGAAGTTTCTTCCAAATGGTGGAGTGTATAAAAAGTTCGGCCCGGCAGCTTCTTTTTTACTTGTTGGAATTTCAATGGCTTTACCTCGAGCTCATTTTTCAATATTTGCAGAATGGAATATTGCGATATGTTCATCTCACGAGCCATTTTTCGGCCACTGCGACGCGGGTTTCGATAAAGTCGCTTCTTTACTTTTCGAACCATTTCTGCTGATGTTGTTGTTTTCTTCCGTCCACTTCCTTGACGTCGGGCTACGCCAGTATCCGACGGGCTACCAGTATCACGATAAGGAGCGATGGTACGAGACACAAAAGATTTATTCACAGAGTGCTTTAACGATAGCCCCTTGCAGTTTTTTTTTTTTTTTTTTTGAATTCCATCACAAATAACACGAATAACTTGAATTCCATCACGAATAACGAATAACAGTTGTAGACATGTCTTCCATGTAGCGGTAACACCTAACCATACTAGAAACTATCTCCATTACCAAATAGTTGATTTCCGATCTAATTTTTGGCAATCGCAACTAGTTTGAAATCAACCTATTAACGAATGACTTTAAAAGACCATTTCACCCAACCAATAGGTCTTCAAATAATGAAAAATGCCTTACTTTTCACATCTGATTCGAAAATTTCACTACTCTGTTAACGGGAAATGAACACAGTTACTCCATTACTTCAATCGTCTACATTGTTCATGTTTTCTCAGTGTACGACGTACGTTTTCGAGCTGTATTTATCAACACCAAACAGCTTAAAAAATAACAAAATACAAATACTTCGGCAAAGCCAGTTGATTGCTTGTTCTATCTCTAATTTACTTACCTCGACATGGTCCCGGATATGCAACACCAATTGATCGACCAATTTTGCAAATTATACGATTTATCTCGCACATGCTTTTGTATGTCTTGCCATCAGCGCCACAAACGGCTCTGGTCGCATCCACTACATCATTGTCATTATCATAATCGTCCAGTGGGCATTCGATTTTACATGCTATGCAGTGCGGCATGGTGTACTGATCCTCGACACAAGTAAGTCCTTCCAAGCACTTGACTCCATTGCAAGTAGCTGCACGAGGCAATAGAAATGGGGTAGGGTAGGGAGAGGAGTGAAGAGAAGAAACGCAAATACATGGAAAAATTAATAAATGGTATAATTTACGACATGCACCGAAGAAAGTCGACTGATTGTTGTTTGTGAACATTTGAGATGGCCCCCAGACCATTAGACACTAACGAACGATCGTTCGATCGATCCACTCGAATCGCCTGGCAACCAACCAACCCCAGACCACTGGATTGTCATTACCTGCCATTTGCTGCAAATATGTTTAACAAATAACAGAAAATATTTACAGCCAATAAACAGTCAAATTTATCATTTAATGTGGCATTGGCATGTAAGCCTTGGCGCCACGAATGACAGCATCCGAAATGGCGACGATTTTTTTGGTTGGTCTTGCAGGGAATTTGTTGGTGAATTCAATGGCATAGCAACAGGCCAAATGAGCAGGTGATGCTGCCATATTTTTGGACATAAATTTAATGTTTGTTTGTTAACTCTCTTGGTCGTATGGTCGCAGTGGATTTATGTACTTTATGGAAAATCGTTTTTAGACATGGTGTTTTATTCGGAGTTGATTTGGCCCTGTCCGTCCGTTTATCTAGTGCGTTCGATAACTCTCGTATGTAGTATCCAATTTGGTCCAAACTTTGCAATGCGTATTAATTTTACCAAACTTAGATCGGATTTTGAGATGAGCAATGTCGGTCCACTCATAACATACGTCTAACCAAAAATTTAAAGTGTTCTTAAATATAACATCTCGTATTAAACGAACAATGTACCTAATATAGTTCAATCTTTGCATGTTGCAATCTTTATATCAAATTTAGGTCAGAAATGTGTATAGATAATATTGACCCACTCTTTCCCGTGATCAATCGATCAAAATTTTCATAAACATATATCATAAAAAGCGATGGAAGTGCGCCAATATCGATCTACTCCTTACGGTACCTCCACCACAAAGACGTACCTTTATAAAATATAAAATCAATACTCCCCTTTCTTCTGCGATACTTCGCCCACCCATCAAAAGTTTCCTTAACTAAATAATGGGGTTCCTTGTTAATTTTTGGCGGTCGTAACAACTTTCGAATCAACTTTTCTTACAAGGGTATATCACCCGAAATTTGTGGAGGTAATTTTGTGCTCCATTTTTTGGTACCGATTTATACTCTCCACCGTACATAGTATGGAGGGTATATTAAGTTCGTCATTCCGTTTGTAACTCAATCGAATAATAATAATTATATATATTTTCTTGATCTTGATTATAAGACGATTTAGCCATGTCCGTCTGTTCGTTTGTTGTAATCGCGCTAGAGTAAAAACGAATGAAGATAGGTAGGTAAAACTTTGCACAGATCATTCTTTTGTCCGCAGTCAGGTCATATTCGAAGATGGGCTATATCGGTCCACAATATCGCATAGCCCCCATGTAACGGTACCCCCAACATTCTATATTTTTATGATTGTAGCCAAATGTTTCAATGAAATTGAATTGAAAATCCACAAAAGGAGTATCTTCTGAGCACTTTACACCCTGGAAGAGTATTATCTATATAGGTCCACGACATCGTATATCCCCCATACAACGGTAAATCCCTATATTCTGCATTGTGACGATTTCAGCTACATTTTTCAATGGAATTGTCTGAAAATCCATACTAGAAATTCTTTCTAAGCACTTTAGCCCCTGAAAGAGAAATGTCTATATAAGTCCACGATACCGCATAGCCCACATACAACACTAATTCACCGGAGTTGTTTTAAATTTCGTAATTAGAATTCTTAATGGGTACTACAGCCTATGACATAAAATTTTCTATGCAGGCTCAGGTCTTCGTATAGGCCCCATTTATCAGTACCTCCCTATATTCGGTATTTTGAGGACTTTAGATAAAATATTCACCGGATTTTTTCAAGTTTCATATTTGAATATTGTAATAGTTTATAACAAAAGCTGCCTATGCAGGCCCACTTCTTCGTATAGACCCCAATATAACGGCTACATTCGGTATTTTTAAAATGTTAACAGAATTTTTTAACAGATTTTATTTTAATATTTCAATTTCCAAATTCGTCCCAAAGTTCGGCCCGACCGAACTTACTGCGTTTTTACTTGTTTATATTTCCTGCTGCTAATATTAAACTCGTAATCGTCTGTACTGCAGTTAAACACCCTTTGCCACTGTTAAACACGTGAACGATCGTATCTGGTATAAAAACTACATCAGCAACCCATCGAATTTTATGTTTTTTTTTATTTTATGTCGTTTGCCGATACCAAATTTCTAACTTGCAAAATAAGGTTTTGCAGTCGAATTCGCACACTTCTTGCCGTTTTACTCATTACTTGGTAATGATGAAAATAAGTTCCTTTGCTTTGTATTGTTAAGGTATAACCCACTGTTTTCAATCTAATGTCAATGGAGGATATAGTTTGTTTACATTTCGGGCTTATTCATCTCATTAGCTTTCAAATTTTAGTTGGACACGAAAATATACCTACATCTTCATATTCTGAAGGTATATATCAGCTTCTTAAACGACTTATATTTTCCAACGTAATTTCAGCTAATACTGTTATTATAGGACCCCACATAATGTGGCTGTTTAGATTTAATATATTTTATTATATGCCTAATTTGAGGTTAAAATATTAAAAAATTTCGACTTGGTTGACCTGCACGCCAACATATAGTTGTTTTAGGACCTCAAATAAATATAGGAATACTTACTTTTACAATGACCGCGATAGGCAACTTGCAGCAAATGATTATCCGTACGACAAGCACGTTTCCGCAATTGGCATTCGGTGTTGTAGGTTCGTCCATCCGTACCACAAACAGGGTTGATCGATCTTATATTGTCTGTAATCTTGTTTGAGTTGGGAAGAAATTGAAAAAATAACAAAGATAGGTATTAAGTGATATGTCACACGGATTTTAATCGAAACAAAGTTACAATTAAGAAATGTATAATACCCTTAACCAAAAGATGGATGGATGGTATATTAAAATTGTCATTCGTTGTTAACATATGGTTCTAAAGTAAATTCCAATAAGTTTTATTATTGTAAGATTTAATTTACTGCTAAACTGTGAGGTATCAAATATGAGGTGTGTTCACTTAGTTCTTTCCCCAGTTGCGGAAACATAATTTTGAGATGATTTTGTTGTAAGGGCATCACAACGGCATAGTTAAAACTTAGGTAAGGTTAGGTTGAAAGGAGGGGCGAAAATCGCCTAATGTCCTGGTGGACATACACTTAAGCCAGTATAGGCCTGTTGTACTCTTTAGACTAAAGTTATTGAAAGATGACCGGCGGTTTACAGTTTATTATGTTAGGAATTCAGTTGCTTAATAAAATTCCTTAACTATTTTTCTTTTTTTTTCATTTACCATAATCTGATTAATTTCTGGTATAGAGTCGTTTCCTAAGAATTAGGATCTGATATTTGCAAACAATTGTCATTCACAGAGAAAACGATCACAGGTTTCATAATCTTCCCGCATGTCCCACATGTCCTGCATATGCTGCTATCTGCACATACTATCTTGTACAAATTAGCTTGTAGGCCCAGGTGCCCCATAAGGATACTCTAGTAATTTCTTCTCTTCATTGGGGTCTCCCCACAGGATTTTTATGGTTTTCCTAAAGGTATGTTGGCGTTTTTTGCATATGTCTTTTACGCTAGATGTGGCGCATAAAGCGACATTGCATTGTCCAAGTTTGCGGTTGCTAATTCCCTGCCTGTTTTGGCGAGAGAGATCACTATCTCGTTATCTCCAATCCTCGCTCAACCTACTGCCCTATATAATGCGTACCGAGCTGATGATATGCCACGTGGTCTTTATTTAACCACTCGTCCGTAGGCTTGATTCCATATCTGAATGTCTTTTGGGTCTACATATAAAATTATTGTCCTTATTGCACCGCCAATGCTTAAGCTGCACATTCTTTAGACTTTCTGTAATATTTTTGTATTACATTTTTTATCCATAGCTGTTCAACAGACTACTGATGCGTATGGAAGAACAGGTCAATGTGCCATCTTTGGATTGAACACCCATTTTAAACCTACAACCATTTTTCACGTTGTCCAGTATCTGTGAGGTTTATTAGTTTTTTCTTGATTGTGGTCTCTCCAATTATGATTCCTATCTATCCAGATATTTAACCTTATTGGATATGTTGATGATCTTGTTCAGGAAGACTGGTTCATCGAGTCCTTAATGGCAGTAACCCACAGGAGAGATGATAAAATCCAACCTGTGAAGTTCCCTGATGAACTTTGTCCCTTATGTTAACGTCATATATTCCACAACTTATCTATCTATTTCTTAGCATATGGCTATGGATACCCTGAGCACTAGTGGCATATTGAAAAAAATGATAATAATAAAGTATTTCTTATCTTCCCCATTTCTGTGTTTAATTATTAAACTTTAATATCTAAATATGTAAATTCTATGCCTACTATCTTAGGAAACCTTTTTGTGATATTGTCGATCTTTACGCTTCTATAATAACAATATAAACGTATAAAGGATGGCTCAATCCCTCGATTTGAGGGATTTTTTAATATTTTCTCTAGATTTTTCCAAGCATAAGCTTTTTGCAAAATTATTCTCAGGTCATTTTTATACGAATGAATCCACTCCATTCGACCACTTTTGCATTTGCGGTTTATAATGGAACTCGTTCGAATTTTGAATCTAGATTTGTTAACTTTTTATATTTTTTTAGCTTGTTACCCAATAGATGAACTCATTGGCCCTCTCCACTTGTCGTATTTTATTATTATATTAGCTGAACCCGGTACGGTTGTCGTTCGGATTTATTGATTTCATAGCAAATTGTAAGCGTGCAGAAAACTGCATCTTTCGAAGTTGAGTGGCATATCTAATTAGAGATTTCGAGGTAGCGACATACTTCCCCGTAATAATCGTGTTCTCTATTAACTTGTGAAGTTTTTTACTTTTAGCCTAAAATCATTGCAAAGGCCTTGTTTTATTAATAAATCCTAATCTGAACCGATTTCAATATAATTTGACAAAATTTACTGTTTAACCAAATTCCGTCACACCATCCATATTTCATTGAAATTGGTGCGTCAAATATGTGAAATCGGCCGAGAATATATATCCAAATCCTAACCGATTTCTAATTAATTTGGCCAATTTATTATTGTAACCAATTTCAGTCAAATATTCTGAATTTCATTGGAATCGGTCATGTATATCGTGTATGGTGTACATAACATACATGAAATCGGCAGAAATATATTAAATTATGTAAAATCGGCCGGAAATATATATGGGATCTATATCCAAATCTGAACCGATTTCAATATAATATAATTAACAAATTTATTTTCTGATCAAAATCCCGCCACACATTCCAAATTTTATTGGAATCGAGCACACACAGCGTGTTTAATGCATCAAATACATGAAATCGGCCGAAAATATGTATGGGAGCTATATCCAAATCTGAACCGATTTCAATATAATTTCGCAAATTTATTTTTGTTCCAAATTCCGTTATGCATTCCAAATTTGGAGACAAATTTGGAGATCCATCAATAGATATGTGCATATAAAACCTAAATTTTTGTGAGGTACCTCCGATTCTGACGATATATCTATCAAGTGGAATTTAATAAATGTATATAGCCTATGTTACTTTCAGGCGCTGTTGTAGTATACAGGAAACTCTTTTCAGCGGTTTTCGAGTCCATAAATTACAAACAAACATACAGACAATTTCCTATTATAGATATAGAAGAAAGAAGATGCCATGTGACAACAGAGGGTATATACGGCTAAAACGTGTTTCATCGATATAGCGGGTTTAGACCCTAGTTCTCTTTGGGAGAAATCCGTTTCAGAACTTTTAGAGTCGACCTAGGTTTGTCCGTCCGTTCGTCTGTCTGTCTGGTGGGTGCGCACCATAACACTCGAATGGTGTATCCGATTTGGTGTACACTTGGTACATCGTAATATTATTGTCAAACTTAGATCGAGTTCGGAGATGGGCAACATAGAGATGGGTCCACTCCATCTGGCACTTCCCCCACAAAAGACCAAAGTTTTCAAAGGAAATAAGAAAGAGAAATTTTTGTCACTGCTAGGTCATTTGCAAAAATGGACAATATTGGTCCTCTCCACAAAGTACCTCCCTCACAAAGAGACGAAATTTGATATAATTTTAACTCTTATAAAATGTGAAGTAAGAGTCCGGTTGTATTCAAATTTTACACTATCAACAAAAGTTTATTACACAAGATCAAGTGTGAAAATGCGATATATCGGTCCACTTCTTTTGGTACCTCCCCCACAAAAGGGTCAAAGTTTTTTATTAACCAAAGCGATCATTAAATGCGAATTGATATTTCTACTAAAACTTGATCTGGTGTGAGTATGGAATATATAGAATCGCTCCTTCTGATACCACCCCCAAAAAGGGGTCAAAAGCTTAAATAATCATAACGCAAGTCAATATATATGTAAACAAACAGACATTGGCCGAGGGTATACATTTGCCGGCTAACCCGATTGATAGTTTTTGATTTGTTTTTTCTTCACTTGCCGGGCACACTCTGTGGCCACGTTACTCATTACTTATTTATGATAGAATGAGTGCTTTTGCTATGTATTTTTTGAGAATAATCCATTATTTTCAAACTACTTGTATTCGTATCGTACAACTCCCTTGTTTTTGCTGGGTTATTTGTCCTTTGAGTTTTGGGTCAATCGGTGTGAGCTCAAATTATATTTTTTTCTTTGGTTTTTCTATTTACCTACCGTTATTGCATGGCTATTTTTCGGAAATCCATGCAAATCGAACTGATCCACATAACTGTCGAACGAGGCCGAATCGAAATTATGCGATGTTAAAATCGTGTTATCGTTGTCGTCGCTGAAGCCATTGAATGTGGCCTGAGTTTTCCCCCCACGATCGTAGTGTGGATGAGTTGCTCCTTCGCCTCTAACGTTGTCCATGTATGAGAAGGCTGACGAGGAGGATGTGGAAGCGGCTGCAGCCGGCATTGTTACAAGTGTTGTCTGCATGTATGGATGGGTTGATGCTGCTGCTTCCTCAGAGCCAGGCGATGGCAGTGCTTGTGCCCTCGACGAGGATGCTGAAGTGGGTAATAGTAATGAGGATGACGCAGCGAGTTTACTTCCGTGATTTGCCAAATGACTTTGATCTGAGGCACCAACAGACAGTGTGGAATTTACGGGAGTGGTCGTTAACAATTCCGACTGTTGTGGCGTTGTGCTGGCCGAAGATGTTGCAGATATGGTGCCAGAGGGTAGCACTTTGTTGGCAATGCTGGCAGTGGCGGCGGTGGTGGTGGTGTTGCCATAGTCCTGGTGATTCTTTGGAGTATTTTGTACATTGGAATGGTTGGCTTTGTTGTGTTGTCTGTTGTGTTTGCGTCTGCCAAAACCCGAATTTTGCTGACGATTGTTGTGATGATTGTTCTGGTGGTGATGCTGATGATGATGTTGGTCACGGCGATCGTCATAATGCCGCTGTTTCTGCTGTTGTTGTTTGTGTTTGTGCTGCTGCTGGTGGTGATGACGATTGCTGTTGTCGTTGCGATGACGATGATGATGATATTTTGGAGCATTCTCAGCATGTTGGCCATTTTGGTGAGGTCGTCTAACGTGGCTGTTGTTGTTGTTATTATCGTTGCTGCTGCTGGAGTACTGATCTCGTTGTTGTGTTTTGGTTGTTTGTTGCAAATCATGATTATTTTTGTTGGTTTTGGACTTGTGTCTAGACATGGACTGGTTCCGAAATCTCGTTGTTGCATCATCATCGTCGTTGTCGTTGTCGCTGTCGTCGGAGTGGTTTTCGTCGTTGTGGTTGTTGTTGCTGCTGAAGCCGCTGTTGAAAATTATGGGCCTGCTCCGGCCTCCGCCATCACCACCACCACCGCCGCCGTCCTCGTCATCGTAGTCATCTTCTTCTTCCTCATATTCCTCGGAGAGATCAGTGTCCTCGTGCTGACCATTTGCTTTGTGGTTGTTGTTGCTGTTGCTATTGCTGTTCTTGTTGCCCTGTCTGGCATATGTGGTTCTTACATTGCTAAAAAGTTGTATCCGTCTAGTGGTGGGCTTTTCCGTATGCTCGACATTGGCTGTTATCAGAAGTCTGCGATTGCCTTTGGGCTGCTGGTTTTTTCTTCGTGGCGGCGTTGGCGGTGGTGCCTCCTGTTGGTGGGTATAGTCGTGTTGCATGTGTATGTGAATAAATTTTCTTTGGTTTTGTTTTTCCGAACCTAAGTTTGCATTTGTAATTTCACTACTTAAACTATGGGTGTCGCGTGCCTGTCGCGACCTCTCCTCCCGACGTAACGTCCGCGCGTCCACCTTTGCGAACACCACGCCACTACCATCGCTGGCAGCACCACCACCGCCAGCATTTTTAGAAAACAGGCTGTGGTGCTGCTGCTGGAGTTGTTGTTCGCGTTGCAAGCGCCTTCGTCTTGCTGCTCCACATTCAGGCGCGCAAACGCACTTCGGCCGACCCTTGCGTTTGACGCATTTCTTGGTTGGTCCGCATTTGACGTTGCGACAACTTTCTGAAATGAAAAACAAAAAACAGACAGACAAACACATGAAATGAAATTAGTGGCAGATGAGTCCGGCCGTTGGTTGCCTTGTAAGTCGTCAGTCGTCTAATGGCCGAGTTCGTTTTCTGTTTCTTTAGTTTTTTCTTCACTTTTACAGATTCCAATCAAGTGTCTGTGCGATTACTTATTAGCATTTATTATTTTGTTTATTTGGTAGCTACCTAAGCACGGTGTGCATTCCATGCCGCCTCCAATCGCCGTCGCAAAAAAGTACTCGACATTTGTCGGCTCACGATCGGTGTAGGCGAATTCTTGATTGGCGCCACAGCAGTCACTCTTACTGACGTTGAACGAGAAGATTTCGTTGCATTTGCCATTGCCTAAGACCGTCTGCCAGCAGGCTCCAGCTGAAAATAGCATCCATGGAAGAATAAGAAAAAAATGAAAATATTAAAGCATTAGATTTATGCACCTAAACATACGAACATACTTTTAATACTTTTAATGTTCAATTACACACAGCATTCGCACACAAACTCACAGACATACATACACACACGAAATTCCATACACCCATAAAAGTACTTTCCTAACCAAATGGAAATGGGTGAATTTAATTTGTCATGGCCATTAGTGGCTTAATGTTCATTCCAGTGACATGATCTTAAATTAAGTTGCCACTTGTCGGAAGGCGATGGGATTTTATTTTAGTTTCGCAAAGAATCCATTTCAATTCGAATAAAAGATTAATGATGAAGTTGTCATCCTGGTAATGGACCGAGGATTGGAGCTACAATTATGCGCCCTGTTGTTAGGCCAATGGAATACAAGGAATTAAGTTCTGATGTTGATAATGTAAAAACTTAGAGATATATTGAGGAGACATTTTTGTCGATTTTCATTATCCAAATATGCAAAACTGAGTCATACAATTATTGGCTGACAAAATGTATCAAAAACAGCAATGTTCGAGCCCAACTTTATGATTGCCGGATAGAACAAAAGAAAATGCAAAAGAAAATTCCGGTGGAAAATGTCGCTAAAATTAAAAAATCCCTATATCAGGTGTTACAGTAATATGTACGAAAACTTGGACCTGTGCACTTAATCATCTCCAGAGAATGTGTTCCCTGTTACGAACTCCAAATACAAAGTCAAAAATAATTCTGTAAATAATGTAGCTAAAATCATACCGAATATTGGGAGGCACTGCTATATTCGATAGACGGTGTTTAGAAAATTTCGAAAAACTTTGCCAATTCCTATCACAACGAAAAGAAGGCATAAGTTGGTAGAAGGGATACGGAGAGTATATTGGGCAGCAGTTTTTTGCATTTTCAGTCAAATGATCGCATAGTGCTGAAGTAATATTTAATACGAGCTTCCTAGACTGGCAAATCTAATTGATAATTTCATCGCCTCATTTAAAGCAAAGGAAAAAAATTAACTTTGTTTTAATTCATTTTTTATCCTCCACCATTCTATGGAGGGTGTATTAACTTTGTCATTCCGTTTGTAACTCCTCAAAATATTCACAATAGACCCTAAAAAGTTTATATATTTTGGATCAGCATAAAATTCTAAGACGATCTAGCGATGTCTGTCTGTTGTAATCACGCTATCTTTCGAACGAATTGAAATAGAAGGATAACAGGCAGGTTAAGTTCGTAAATGGGCCATGTCGGTCAACGTTTTCGTATAGCACCCATATAACGGTACCTCCAGATATTCGGTATTTTCATGATTTCAGCAACATTATTCGCCTAAATTGTTTCAAATTTCGTACTCGAATATCCTAATGGGTACTACAACCTATGACAAAAGACCTCTCGATATTCAGTATTTTAATAATTTTTGCCACATTTTTCAATGAAATTGTCAAAATTTGAAGAATTCAAAAAAAAAAAAAAAAAAAAACAAATCGAAAACTACCACTTAAATGAAAATCGTCATATGGGGGCTATACGAAGACGTGGACCTGCATACGAAATTTTTTGCCATAATACCGAATATCGAGAGGTTCCGTTTTATGGGGGTAATACGAAGACGTGGACCTGCACATTACCTGGACATTACGAACTTTAAGTGTGGAATTTGGAATAATTCCGGTAAATTATGTCGCTGAAAATACCGAATATCGGGAAGTACCGTTATGTGGGGGCTATACGAAGATTTTGTCATAGGTTGTAGTACCCATTAGGATCTTCGAGTACGAAATTTGAAACGATTCCGGCGAATAATGATGCTGAAATCATGAAAATACCGAAAATCTGGAGGTACCGTTACATGGGGGCTATAGAAAGCTTGGACCTGCATACAAAAATTTTTGTCATAGACTGTAGTACTCATTACGAACCTCAAATACGAAATTTGAAATAATTCCGGTAAATAATGTCGCTTAAAACATGAAAATACCGGATATCGGGAGGTACCAATTAGTATTCATTAAAATACTGAATATCGATAGGTTCCGTTATAGAGGGGATATACGATATCGTGGACCTATATAGACAATTCCCTTTCAGGGGTAAAGTACTAAAAAGTAACTCCTTGTGTGGATTTTCGGACCATTCTATTGGAAAATGTGGTTAAAATCATCAGAATACCTTATAGCGGATGGTACCGAGCTATACGATATCATGGACCCATATAGACCATCTTCGAACTTGATCTGTCTGCAGACAAAATACTGATGTGTGCAACATTTCAGCTTCCTAGCTTTAAATATTTTGGAAATAGCATCAAATTTTAGAATAAGTTTAGATTTGTTCGAATTGTTCACCTTTGGCACGAAGTATAGCCTTCAAACGGCCAATGAAACCGTTACATGTTGCCCGGCGAAGCTCTTGCTTGAGGTGATCGACATTTTGCTATTTTTTAGTGCCTTGCTTTTCAAAATACTCCAGACACAATAGTCCAAGATTTTGGTCCGGAGATTTTGGTGGCCATTGTGCGCTGGAAATGAAGCGAGGAACCTCACTTTGTAACCATTCTTGGGTGGCGCGTGCTGAGTGCGATGGTGCTGAGTCCTGTTGGAATATCCAAGGTCTGCAGCCAAAATGTTTGCGTGCCCAAGGCTTTAATACACCCTCCAGAATATTTTCGCGATAATATTCGGCATTTATTCTGATGCAACGGTCGATTAATATGAGCGGGGAGCCACCATCGGCCGTTATGGCGGCCCACACCATCACCATGGCCGGCGCTTGAGTCCTGGTGGCCATCCGAAGGTGCACATTTTCAGCTGACCTCTTTGGCGAGTAAACACGATCATATTGTTTGTTTAAAACTACTGGACAACGAATGGCTTTACCCCCAGCTCATTTTTCAATTTTTTCCGAATGGAATATTGCGATATGTTCATCTCACGAGCCATTTTTCGGCCACTGTGACGCGGGTTTCGATCAAGTCGCTTCTTTACTTTTCGAACCATTTCTGCTGATGTTGCTGTTTTCTTCCGTCCACTTCTTTGACGTCGGGCTATGCTACCAGTATCACGGTAACGAGCGATGGTATGAGACATAAAAGATTTATTCATATTTAAATGCTGGAGTACTCCAACGAAAGCCACTTGTGGTTTTCCAGCCAAGTATAAAGAAATCACACTATCACGCTTGAATTCCATCACGAATAACGTTTTTTCTGGAAAATTCCTACCAAAATGGTTTTGTACGCTTGAAAACAATATAATCAGTTGTCACTGTCTGAAATTGTTTGCAGTTTTTTCATCTCTCCCTGTAAGTTCCTTTCTCTGCATACCAAGTAGGGGACATTTGCTTATATTAAAGAAATTCAGAACAACTTGTTGAATCTATATACCCTCATATCGTTTGATACGACCAAAACGTGCCTCATCGAAATAACGGTTTTAGACCTCAATTCTTGTTCTATGAAATTGTGAAATGAAAACTTTTATAAAGGAAAGAAATGTGAAATGAAAAATTTTATAAAAAAAATATTTTTCATTTCATATTTTCATAGAACAAGAACCAGCCCCAGGTCTCTTTATACCAAATCTATTTCAGGACATTTGAATTCGATCTAGCGATGTCCGTCCGTCTGTCAGTCTGGCGATAACTCTCGAAGGGAGTATCCGATTTGTCCAAACTTGGTAAATGGTAATACTGTTATCAAACTTAGATCGAGTTCGGAGATGGGCTATATCGGCCCACTCCTCCTCCTCCCCCACAAAAAGTCGAAATTTTCAAAGAAAATATTTTACTGCACAGAAAGAGAAATGCTAATCCAATTTTGTTCCAACTTTGCAAATCCTAGTATTTGTATGAATGTCAGGCCGGATGCAAAAATGGACAATGTCGGTCCACTCCATCAAGTACCCTCACCCACAAAGGGCCAAATTTTGAGTAATTATAACTCTTATAAAATGTAATGTAAGAGTCCGCCTTTAACATTTGATTCCATTCAGTATTATCACATCTCAATATTTCTAGCAACACAAGATCTGTTATAAAGATGGTAGAGATCGGACCATTCCTTCTGATATCTCCCGCGCAAATGGTCGACGTTTTGAATAACCAAACGATTATAAAATCCGAAATAAGCATTCGGTTCTCTTCATATTTGACACATCCCATTATTTCTACTAACAAAAGATCTGCGATGAAGATAGAATGTATCGGTCCACTCCTTCTGGTACCTCCCTCCCAAAGGATCAACATTTTGAAAAACAATGAAGCTCATAAAAAGCCGTTTCCATTCAGACTTTGTACATCTCAATATTTCTATCACCACAAGATCTGTTATAAAGAGATCGGACTATACCTTCTGGTACCTCCTCTCCATAAGATTCAAGATTGAGAAAAGGAAAACACTCAATAAAGCGGAATAAGCATCTATTTCAAATTTCACACACAAGATCTGTCGTGAAGACGATATATATCTGCAAACCCCTTCTGGTTCCTCCCCCAGAAAGGGACACAATGTACAATACTCAGCTTTAGGGCTGCATTTCATTAGTTTTTCTAACCTGCTCTACCTCCTTATTGTACCATTCCATTTATTCTGTATATAATCTATGGGATTTATTATCTCTTTACTCCGCCTGAGTATGTTTTTAATCAATATGCATATATGTCGGCAATGTCGAATGAAATTATTATTTTTTGCTTCTGTACATCATATCTACATATTAATCAAATCGTATTCGGACATCAAAGAAGACATTAATCAAAATTAAGATCAGCCATGTCTTTGATCTGAAAGTGTGTGCCACAGCACGGAGACATTGCCAAGGAATACAATTTGTAAACAAACGACAATTTCGTAAAATTTTTTGTTGGACCAAACACATAAACATCGATTACCAAGAGTAGAGTTTACTTTCAAATAGGCGTTTGATATGCCAAAAACATATATTTCCTTTTGCTTTCTATTCTTCTTTTCACCACAGTAATAAGAAGAGTATATTAATTTTATCATTCCGAAGTATTATTTGGGGACCTGAAAGATATATTTCTTCATTAGCTTAAATCTGCATACCACCTTATTTCTTTATATATTAGGAGAAACACGAAAATATACTAAACGAAACTTTTGCAATCATTCTGCTTACAGAACGAAACAGAACATGATCACAAAAAAGAGATTGAAAACATTGGTTTTTGAAGCTTATATTTCTCGGAAATTTTTATATCCAAAAATTTTATAGAACAAATCCGGATCATCTTAAAACATGATTTAAGTCTTACATTTTAAATTTTAAATTATTTTATGTCATATGCGGACACAAGAAATATACCAGTAAAGAAAAGTCAAAAGTCGTGCGATTATATGATACCCTACACCACTATGCATATTTAGTAGAGCTCCCGTAACAAAAGAACTTATTTGAAGTAGATCATACCACCTATCAACATTTGGCTTTAGAGCAGTTATAGTTTGGTTTCTGAGGGAATCCAATTCTGAATTAATTTTCGCTAAATTTGACGGAGGCATTTTAATCTTCAATACCAAATAACATTGCTATAAAATACATTATATCACTTTGATATATATTTAAAAAATATTAAATAAATCAAAAATAATAAATTAAAAATTAAATAAATATTAAATAATGCTACAAATAAATACCAAAAGACATAATAATCTTATCACTATGTGGTGTAGGGTATAATAAAAAATCGAAAAAAATTGATGTGTCATTTTTGGAAAAAAAAATTTAAAGATTTTAAAATGCTAAACGATTCAGAATTCATGGAAACAATCGAAATAAATGTAAAATTAAAGTATGAGTAATCGAAATAATAAAAACTTAATAGAAATTTGTGGTAGAGGTCGAGATTTTAATTTTGTGGTGTACATAAATAAAAAATAAAAAAATTGTGGAATTTGCTGACGACAAACAGTCTTTTCAATATTATTCCACTGCAAATGGACTGTGCGGGAAAAATGAATATTGGTATAGTGAAACAGTACTTTCTCGGAGAGAGAAGCTGAGTCAGCAGGAAGGTTTGGGGGGTGCCAACAAAACAAGTAAACAGATTCTAAAGATTTTTAAAATTAATATTTTAATATTTCCCCTTTTTATATCTGGATGTTACGTTAGCCTCAAATGAAACAGCAAAGAAAAACAAAAAAAAAAAAAAAAAAAACATTGGAATCCGCTTTTCAACGGCATAAGACATATTTTTCAATCAGACAAGTCGGTCCAAATACATTCAGGGTGAGATAAAAAAACTGCAACAAAGTTAAACGCCATAATTTTTACATTTTTTTAATTTTATTGAATGAAAGCTAAAAATTTTGGAAATAGCATAAAATTTTAGAATAAGTTTAGATTTGTTCGAATTGGACACCTTTGGCACGAATTATAACCTTCAAACGGCCAATGAAACCATCACACGCTGCCCGAATGTTGCTCTGCGGTATTTTGGCCCATTCCAGACGAAGCGCTTGCTTGAGGTGATCGACACTTTGGTATTTTTTAGTGCTAACCTTTTCCAAAATACTCCAAACACAATAGTCCAACGGATAGGTATACGGAGATTTTGGTGGCCATTGTGCGCTGGAAATGAAGCTAGGAACCTCATTTTATAACCATTCGTGGGTGGCGCGTGCTGAGTGCGATGGTGCTGAGTACTGTTTAAATGTCCAAGGTCTGCGGCCAAAATGTTTGCGTGCCCAAGGCTTTAATGCATCCTCCAGGATATTTTCGCGATAACATTCGGCGTTTATTCTGATGCCACGGTCGATTAGTACGAGCGGAGAGCGACCATCGGCTGTTATGGCGGCCCACACCATCACCATGGCCGGCGCTTGAGTTCTGGTGGCCAACCGAAGGTGCACATTTTCAGCTGACCTCTTTGGCAAGTAAACACGATCATTTTGTCATAAGTCGCTTCTTTACTTTTCGAACCATTGCTGTTTTCTTCCATCTACTTCCTTGACGTCGGGCTACGCTACTAGTATCACGGTAACGAGCGATCGTACGAGACACAAAAGATTAATTCACATTTAAATTCTGGAGTGCTCCAACGAAAGCCACTTGTGGTTTTCCAGCCAAGTATAAAGAAATCACACTATCACGCTTGAATTGCACCACGAATAACTTTTTTTCGGGAAATGCTGTTGTACGTTTGTAAACAATAAAATGACCTGTCACTGGAATACATTTAACACCTGTCTAAGATAGTATGGAGGGTATATTAAGTTTGCCATTCCGTATAGCACCCATATAACGGAACCTCCCGATATTCGGTATTTTGATGATTTTAGCAACAATATTCACTGGAATTCTTTCAATATTGGTATTTGATGTTCGTAATGGATGCTACTGTTTATGACAGGAGATCGTCTGTAAAGGTCCACGTCTTCGTGTAGACCCCATATAATGGTACCTCCCGATATTCGGTATTTTGATGTTTTTAGCTATGGTATAATCTACTTCACTTAAATTTTCAATATATACATTTTTGTTACGAGAGCTCTACTAAGTACTCATAGTGGTGTTGAGTATCATATAGTCGGCCCCGCCGACTCTTCATCTTTCCTTACTGGCTTAAAATAAATTTCAAAAGAGGATTGAAATAAGGTGAGTATTTTTAAATTTCTTTAAAATAGGGGTACGAAAAGTTCTAAGAAACACAACTTTGTTATTGACAGACTGATAAAAGCTAAAACTTTGACCTTTTGCACAAGATAAGACGAGATCTTTGGGAATTGTATTAAAAAGGAGAAAGTGCTACAGCATTATTATATAGCGTTCAGTCAGAGCTATAACTTTAAATTTTTAAATACGGTCTGAAGTAAGGTTACATTTTAAAACGTTGTTAGTTATTGCAATTGAGTGATGGATAGAATCTACAACGTTCAAATTTTGCATGAGAAGAACAAATACTTATGCCATATAATGTCGTTCTTGAAAAGAGATGCCCGAAATATATTTTCGTTGGGGTCAACATTTTCAAATCATTTGTTGGACATGCAATTTGCGGTTTCCTAGATATTCGAAACATTGGACTAGGAACTTAAATTTCACTTACCTGCTGCAGTTCGAACTCCTATTGCAAAAGCAATAAACAATGTCAACAGCAGATGCATTGCTCCAAAGTTGTTGTTGCTGTTGTGGGAACTGCTGCTATTGGTGGCAACATTGATGTATTGATTCGTGGAATGACAGCTCTTCGAATGCTCCGTAGACTTGAAAACGTTAATGTTGCTGTGTGGAATAGACGCTGTCACTGGCAATTTTGTATGCATTGAATGATTTTCCAGCTGATAGTCGTGGCAACAATGGGACAACTTTGTCTGGCTGGACGATGGTGATGATGGTGTCGATAATAACGACGACAGGTTGGACAACAACGATATTGATGACATTGAAAATTTCGTTGTTGTAGTTGTTGTTGGTGGTGACTGCTTCAACTGATGTTGATGTTGATGTCGATGTTGCTGGTGATGATGCTTCGGACGGTAGCACCTTAATGGTGGCGTTGATGTGATTGTTGACACTTTGTCATAATTGCTGGCGTATTGATAGCCCGTTCCGTTGCGATGTCTGGCACTGCCGTTGGTGGCCTCACTACCCATGTTGGTGTCTTCATTAGCATCTTTATAGGCATTGCATTGATGTCTGATTTCGCCGTTCGCTGGCACTGCAGCCAATGTACGACTTGTGATGACAATCCTCCTCTGAATTTCCATAACAAATGGTTTTGCCGAAAACCCACTGTCGTCTGTTGTGACTACTGGAAATGGTGGTGATGTTGTTGTTGTTGCTGCTGCTGCTGCTGTCGGTACTGTTGTCGTTGTTGTTGACTGTATAATTAAAATTAATATTCTCGGAAATTTACTAACCTCTTCTCGTGTGTGCAAGGAAATGTTGTAATTCTTTATAATTCTGTGATTCGGCATTTTTCCTCCAGCCACCGGAATTGGATGCGTTTGCAAATCGCCGCCGATACGCCTGCAACGATTTCGAATTGAGCATCTTCGTTTGTATTTGTAGTTCGATTTTAGAAATGTAATAATTTTCATTTTGTGCTGATATTTTTTGGTATTATTGCATTTGACATTTGGATATATTGTTTTACATGGTATGCGTTTCATGACGACACTTTTCATTCGAACTTCTCGTTGACCATTCGAAATGGGGTTATTTAAATCCGATTGTTTGGCATGAGATCAAATCTAATGAAAAAGGAGAGTAAATATGTAATTAAAAATTATGTATGTCAAGAAAAAATCGGAATATTAAAATGGGTATTAATTTTTGTGAAAATGGATGTAAAGGCGACGTGTATGGAACTTATTAAAACTCTATCCATTTTAAGTGTTTTAACACTAAAATATCTCAAATTACTAACAACATCCTAAATTTAAGAAACGGATCACATGTTGTAATATTGAAAACGATTTGGCGAGGAAATTAGTTTAGTTTAGAAATTAGTTTAATTAAGATTAGATTCTTCTATTAGGTTAGGAACATTGGAATTCATTGGAACATTAGTCTATCAAACCGTGGACGCCGCACATTGGGGTGAGATCCTCAAAAACGGAGATTAATTCAGAGAAACATTCTACCGCTTTGAAATGTTGCTCAGACATTTATATTACCCCTAGATGTTTGGTAATAAAAATTGCACATATCGGTCCATATTTCGGTATGACACCCATATAGCGTTACTATCTGATTTCCGGTATTTTAAATGTTTTGACCATAATTTTAGACCTAATCATGTGTAACTTGACATTAAGAGTTCTGAGTAGATAGAATCTTTTCACGCTAGAACATTTCAAAATTGCTCCAATATTTACTGTACCTCCTAATTTTCGGTATTTTTAAGGTTTGAGTAACTTGACATTTTGAGTACTGAGCTGACAGAATTTTTCCTTGCTTAATTTTATGAAGATAGGACCGCACTTTTTTTAAGAATCTCTTCCTGCAAAAATTTATGAAGATAATTCCACTAATATATATAGAGCCTTTTCCTAGCTCTACTTCCTAATTTTAGGTATTTTGAGGGTTTCAGACACATCTTTTTAGAAACTTATTATTTGGTATTTGGTTTTTCAGTGGGTAAAAACTACAAACATTTTCTATATAAAACAACCCTTTAACGTAGGTCTCTAAGGCCCAATGAGGTTGGGTCCCCAAAAACATAGATAAATTCATGGTACAATGATATCAAGATAGGGCTATGATACCATATTTTAATTTTTTTATTTTCTTGGCTTAATATGTCAACTTCATTTGTTTATGTGTGTGTTTTCTTTTCAATAACAAAAAAAATTGTTCAGAAAACATTCAAATTCAGGTGTTTTCAAAATGTTTATTTCAACGTATGCATCGACAAAATCTAGAGTTTTTGTAGCGAAATAATCCTTTAGAGATATATAGTACCTGAGTTTGGAAAGAAGTGTTGACCTTTCATTCAGTTATCGCGGTTTTCAATTATTTATTCAAAATAAATGCAACAAGTTGTTTGATTTTTTATTGTTTTGATACAAATTCTGACATTACAAGCCAAACAGGTAGACCTCTATACTTGCAATTTTTTCAAAGTTAGCCTACCTTCTCTTCATTGTACCATGGATAAATTCACTTTTATTAGGATCACTTTTTAAATACCTGGTACTGGTCGTTATCTCTATATTAAACCCAAGTCAAATTTATGTATTTCATGTATCATTTTAGAATGTTGTGGTTAATGACACTATGAATATTTTTACCCAAAGACATATTCATTTTTTAACTTCAAACTGCAGTAAACATGTGTGTAGATCAAGGCTAGGCAAAGAGTATCCCTTGGGATATCTGTGTGTTCACCAACTCAATTGTAAAAAATAAATTGTTTTGAATTTTCTGTCAAAATGGTTTTGGGAGAATATTTAGTTTTGTTCGAGCAGTCGATGAGGAAGGTGCTGTCGGATATTTCTATGAATACACCTTAAGAAATATTGGAGGACAAATATATCTTACTACATATTTGAAACAAATATTTACAAAATTATAAAAATTACAACTTTTAAGATTTATATTCTTTGATTGAATTCTATTTGACAAAATTTGAATACGAATTCACATGTTAGGAATAGAAATTCAATTCATATTGTTAGACAAATTTATTGTTCTTTTTTAAATTAATGGACATTTTCATATCCCTTGATTTCTCTGAAATGATATGTACTTTCTTAGTCAATATTTAGAAAAATTACAGAATGTGATGTTTGTCATTCTGTTTGTAATTCATAGAAATAATATTTTAGGACCCAACGCAGGATATAAGTTTCTGATCAGCATAAAATTCTACGACTATTTGTCGTATGTCAGTCTGTGGTAATCGGTATTACTTTTTAAAGGGTCAACTTAGGTGGTTAGAATGTTAAGTCCGAAATTATTAAACACAAATTATATCAAAATTATATAAAATTTCTGAATGTGTCAACTTATATATTTTTTATTTTTAAATGAATCATAATTGAAATAACTGTGCAAATATATCTCCGAATTGTCTGATCAAAATATTAATTTTTTCCAACAAAGTTGTTTTGAAAACAGAAAATTTAAAATAGAAAATTTAAGATAAAAAATTATTTCTCACTGTGCAAAGAGAGACAAAAAACACTTGCAATATTTTGTTATTTCAAAACACATACAATCACAAAAAAATTTTGAGGCTCTCTGCCTAGCCCTGGTGTAGATCATAAAAAAAATAGATTTTGTGGTTCAAAATGTCACTTAAACCTTTAAAATATTGTAAATGTAAACGTTTTCTTTATATGAGAGGCATACCAAGCATTAAATCTTTTTTGACAAATTTTTGCAAGACGATGTATTATACTCAGAACCCAAAATGTCAAATTGCATCAACATTTGTTGGAAATTTTTGTCAAAATCCATCAATGTTGAAAATAAATTCGTTACCCTGTATGAATCTTGCATGAAATCCCCTCAAAGATTTCAAATCGGGTATAGAATTATATTGATTTTTTTTACAAACATATTTTTTAAATCTTTAAATTTCTTCAAATCTGTGGGTTTCGTTCCATGGCAAAAAAGCCTTGACCTGGGCCTATTTTTCAATTTATTGGTTATTTTATTCTCGATAAGTTATACAGAAACATTTTCTAACACACTGTCCATAAATACTACATTACAGCGGATTCGGCTTGGCAATTTGTCTTATAAACTCCATAATAACTAAAATCAACTGGTTCAAAATTGATAGTATCTACATCAAAACAAGGAACTATGTTGACTTCTTATAATGGGATTACTACATTGGGACATTTCAATATCAATCATTTTAGGAGTACGACAAGTGTAATTTTATTCATTTATCTTAGAAATCGTGCCTTTGAGAGAAATGGATGGAAAAGTTATATTGTCTTCAGATGCAGTTAAAGACTTATAAACTGAAATATCGTATTCAGTTGATTTCCAGCATGGTAAGACCCCAATAAGTCATACATAAACAAGTGGTAAAATGCTGCAGGTATATATCCTTCGGAACAACGACTGAGTCTTTCTAATTTGTTTTAAAAGAATTTATTGTTCAGTCTTTTATATTAGGCTTATTTAACCATAAATAGAGTCAAATCTCCCTCCATACTCATTGCCTATTTTAACTATTTCACATTTTTATCGATATGGTACACAAATTGTTTCTAAGAATATAGCCACATAACAGGATTGTGTCAATGTTGGCTGTCAACAAATTAACCAGAATGATACGATATGAACAGTACGAAATTAATTCCTTCTATAAACAGCAGTTTTCTATGGAATAACACAAATTTCCAATGCCAAGCCTCTCCCATTGTGAAGTATTCATCGTTGCTCGCTGTGTGCACGGCCCCGTCGATGTCGTCTGCTTCTCGGCTGGGCAATTTAAATGAAAACACGACAAACTGTTGCATTCGCCAACAGCCCTTGAGTGAAGAACACTCTAACAAGTGGCAGACATTGTACTTCATGCAAACATTTTGTTTTTTTTTTCTGCTTTTGTCTCCGGCCCAGATGGCGTTTTCATACGAACGTCTAGCGAAGTACGTGTAAAACAACATTCACAGGCCAAAGTAGACAGAAATTATTCAATTTCGAGAAAAAAAATCGACGATGCCAATATTTAATGCCTATGTTTAAAATAGCTACGAGACGGGAGAGTTTGTGGTTTACCTTTTTTTTGTTCGTCAATGTCGTTAAAGATATAGGTTGAGAAAGCTATTGTAATGGGTTGATTTTATTTTGAAACCTCATTTAGAGGATATATGTTTTTTGCCGCTCAAGGCTCTAAAGAGCAGGTTTTCCAACATTAGCGACCCATGCAAGGGGACTGAAGAAACAAATGACATTTATAAAAGTCAAACCAAATTATTGCTAAAGTCTAATAAAACTTGCAGCAAAATATAGTTATTTTACGATAAAAACAATTATTGACTAAGATTTTGAAATAAAATCACATCGGCCACAACAGATTTTAACTAAGAAAATGGTTCCAGTAAAAATTAGCAAACCCTCTTTCAACTCAGTGACTCCAATTAGTGACGAAATTAAATACACCAATTATAGGGAATTTATAATTTGTATAACCACATAATTCGTGCTCTGTTCCAGAACTTGCAAGAACCTATGAACGATTGGCTAAACTTAGTATACTCGCGCATTTTTGGTAGGCTCTACACAACTGTTTGTGCTGTCTCGCATAGTCCACGTGCTAAAAACAGATTTTCTTTTAGGAACCCCATTAATGGCAGCCATAAAAACACGAATGACAATTGTAATAAAGTTAGATATTTTTGTGGCTAAAAATAACCAGACACAGAAACCTGTTGCTGGTTTAAAAATTTATGGACAAACAAGCAGCCAGAGCATGGATTCCAAAATTAAAGCCAAGCTAAGAGAAAAAAATGAAAAAAAACGTACGTAATACGAGACACTGTCGAGACTTGTTTTTGTAGGATTTTATTTTCCCAATTCAAGTAAATGTGAGTTGTTGGTCGCAGCTATTGCTGGCCGCACCATGCGCTCGGCTAGGTGTGCGTATCGACTGGAGTTTGATGTTAATTGTGAAAGTGCCAACAGATATTGTACCGATATTTTAAAACCGATCGTTTGAGGATAGAATCATTGTAATCGTAATATACAATGTGTTTAAGCGCTTAATTGTTGGTTTTCAATTTTGGGT